GATTTGGAAGGAATCCCAAGGGTCGTCTAGTCCAACCCCCTGCAATAACTTAGTTATGCTCAGTTTCACATAAAGGAGTGTGTTTTCCATCTGTGACTCTGGGGAGGTTTCATGTTATGGTAGGGGAGGGTGGAGGAGCTCATGTGCACAGCCACTAACTAACTCTTCATGGTTCACCCTGACAGTGGCAGGTGCTTTTACAGCACACACATTTTTCCCTTCAGCTCCAAGTTACAGAAGAGGCTTTCTTCCTGCTGCTGTCAGCTGTTCAGTTCTTACCCCTGCTGTCTGAGTGTCTTCAACAGCTTACCACTGTGATTCTGCACATTGTCCATTTTGCATGGGCAAGAGTCAATGTCCAGTCTTGTCATCACTTAACTTTTTTTTTTTTTAATACAGAGATGTAATTAAGAAAAAACAAATCTGCTTGGGTGATCTGGGATGGAGGTAGCTGAACCTCAGAAATGCATCCTTTCCAGACCTCTTGGCTAATAAAAGTAACTCTTTTGCTGACACTGATATAATTAATGCACTAGCTTTTTCTTTTGAGCCTGAAGAAGAGCCAGGAAGTAGAGGAGAAAGTGAGTTTGGTGTGCAGGTGGAAAATAATTCCCTTTTGCAATGAATGATTTATTCCTCTGCCTATTCTGCTAGTTGAATGAGACACTTCCATACACCACCAGATTTAAGGGGTACTTAACCACCCGCTGTTGACTGTCAATCCCATTATCAATAAAATGAGATTCTTTGCATCCATTGTGAAAGCCAAGTGGATGGGATAGCTGGGGCCAGGAGTCTGTCCTTTGCAAAAGACAAAAAATATCACCTGGTTGCTTGCTTGGACTCATCGCCATCAGTAAATAAACTTTTTTGCAACAGAATTGATCTAGGAATATAACTTGAGGCTAAATCTTGGCTCTTCAAGGATAGTTGTCAAGCATGCTGACGCGGTTGTCCACGTGTTGGAAAAAGTGTGTGTTAATACGCATTGCTCAACTATGCTGTGGAAAACATTCCTTCCCATCAAGCAATCTTAACTGTCATCCAAGAATGAATAGGCTTTCATTGTTACAGCCTTTCGGTTCCAGACACGTTTCAATTTGCGGTTTGTTCCCTGCCTTCTAACTGTTGGAAAGCATCACATTTCTTAACGCTTCCAGTTGCTGAAAAGAGGAATGCTTTGCTCACTTGCGTCGCCTCCCACGCCAACAGCCCTGCTTTCTCCTGTTGGCCCTTATCCTCTTTAGTAGGAGTCACATGTGTAGCATGCCGTGTCCTGGGGAAAAGCATTCTGATTTGTGCTAGGCAGTTGTGTGTTGGCTTTCGGTAAGAAGCAACATGATCCTGGGGACAGTTCTTCTTCACTCAAGCAGTTTTGGCAAAGAGAATGCTGAGCCACTGTGTTCCTTTTCTGAGGAGGCTTCTAAACCAACTTTATCTGATTTGAGAGGTATGTTTGGAAAGCAGTAACTACATATGATTGTACTTCACCTCCGTAAGAACTGGAGACTTAAGTTGCTCTGGTTCTTGGAATTAACACTGTGTGGGGTTTGATTTTTAGATTCCGTCTTTGGGGGTGCTAACAGGCTGCTTTTGCTTGATGTTTGTGTTAGGGTGAGAAGTAATCTCCAGCCAATTGGAGACTCATATTGGAGGATGCATAAGGAATGAGGAAACTGGGAAAGCACAGCCTGTTCACAATAAAAAAGGATGTAACTTGGCAATGCAACTGATGAGGGAATTGCATTTCCCCCCACTGTGATATGCTGTTGTAAGCAGACGGCTGGTTTTTATCTCTAATCTTTTGTGGGAGTTGGATTTCTTCTTTGCCTTACCGTAGCTGATGAAAGCAATGCGTGCATGCCCTCTTGCTAACATTATCATTAATGCAGGGGAGCGGTTTAGCGCCTCGTTTGTGGATAGCATGAACATTCCTGAAAGTAATACCTAAAAATCAGCTATAAGAATGCTGCTCTTACGAGTGCATTCAAATGGTAGCTTTAAGCGCTTCTATTCCCTCAAATTCTTGATCATGACGCTGCATAGGATTAGAAATGGCTTTTTGTGAGCAGTGTTGCTTCAGACTCTGAAACAAGCAGCAGCAGGTGGCATGCTGCTGCCCCAGCTTCCTTTTGGGCTTCATACCTTGCTTTCATGTGTTCTTCTATGGCAGAGCTGAACGTGACTAGGCTATAAGAGGCTTGCCGGTGCCGGTTTGCTAGTTCTTGATATTGGGAGCTCTGAATGGGGATTGGCTCTGTGCCTCTTTTGCATCAGTGCTGATGCTTCCTTCCTTCATCCATCACATCTCTTCACTGTTTCTTGCTGCTACCACCATCAGAGGAATTGAGGTGTTTGCTGAGCAATCTTTCCATTAGGTTCATCTTCAACAAATGTCTTGTTCAACTCGCAAATGAGCTGCCTGACCTAGGTTGAGTGCGTCTGCCTTCATGTTCAGCTCTTACTTGAGGGCAGTGGTTTTCAACCAGTGTCCCGTGGCACCCTGGGGTACCTTGAATGATGGTCACGGGTGCCATGGGCAACACTGGCCTCTGTCCCTCTTTCCTTCCCTCCCGCCTCTGATGCCCTCTCGCATCTCTCCCTCCCAAGGCTTGCACATCTGTTTGTTGCAGCAGCCCTGGCCACAAGCTGTGCAGGCAAATGGTGCCTCTGGGGCTGGTCAGAGGGGGCTGGTTGCCAGGAGTTGAGGCAGTCTCCGAGTAAGCAAGCAAGTAGGCGAGGGAGCCCAGCTGACCAGTCTGTCAGCCCTTGCTGTTGGGAATGGACAGACAAGTCCCAGGCCCCTGTGGGGCAGTTTGAGGAAGCACCTCTCTTTGAGGTGGGCAGCTCAGAGACCAGGGGTGGTGGCAGCAGCTGCCCAGAGGACTCATAAGGAGAGGGGAGTGGAGGCCAAGGGAACACTTCCCATGGGAGGGTGTTCAAAAAAGGGTGAGAGGCTGCCAGCTCTGCAGGCAAGGGGTGACATAACTGGGCTCCTGAGCCCCATGGGGGTGCCGCAGAAAGAATGTAGTTGGTCAAGGAAGCTGTGGACTCAGAAAGGTTGAAAATCTCTGCTTTAGAGTGTTTTCATGGCAGTTGAACGTTTTTGCTGTGGTGCCTGATTTAGCCATACAGTCATACCTTGGTTTTTGAACAGCTTAGTTCTCGAACGTTTTGGCTCCTGAACGCCACAAACCCGGAAGTGAGTGTTCCGGTTTGCAAATTATTTTTGGAAGCCGAACATGCGACTGGGCTTCTGCAGCTTCCAATTGGCTGCAGGAGCTTCCTACAGCCAATCAGAAGCCACACTTTGGTTTCTGAACATTTTGGAAGTTGAGTGGACTTCTGGAACGGATTCCATTTGACTTCCGAGGTATGATGTATATCAAATGGGGCTGCTTGTTTACTTATTTTTATTTTAATTATTTTAGCGCCACCAATGTACATGGGGATTTAGCATACAGGGGACGCGGGTGGCGCTGTGGGTTAAAGCCTCAGCGCCTAGGGCTTGCCAATCGAAAGGTCGGCGGTTCGAATCCCCGCAGCGGGGTGCGCTCCCGTTGCTCGGTCCCAGCGCCTGCCAACCTAGCAGTTTGAAAGCACTCCCGGGTGCAAGTAGATAAATAGGGTCCGCTTAGCAGCGGGAAGGTAAATGGCGTTTCCGTGTGCAGCTCTGGCTCGCCAGAGCAGCGATGTCACACTGGCCACGTGACCCGGAAGTGTCTCCGGACAGCGCTGGCCCTCGGCCTCTAGAGTGAGATGGGCGCACAACCCCAGAGTCTGTCAAGACTGGCCCGTACGGGCAGGGGTACCTTTACCTTTACCTTACAGTATGACAGATCCCTACTTAAAGGATTTGCAATATTTTTATTTCGTTCAAATTGACAAAAGATCAACTGTTGCTATAAAGGGGGGGGGATCTGTGTCTAATCTGGTTCAAAGCTGTACTTCCCTTTGAACTTGAAATTTAATTTGATGGTTTAAGAGGTTCAGGCCTTAAAGGAAAGGGAAAGCTGAAGCTTGCTTTGCCCAGCAAGAAATTTGGGGAGCTTGGCATATCAGTAATGAAACAGTTCCGAGGTTGTGTTTATGGTCTCATCAACCAATGCGTTGGCTTAGATTATTGCCTTTTAAAGTATACAATCACAGAGAGTATTTCTCGAAATATAAATAGGTCCCCCCCCCCAATTTCTTCTTGACCTGTTTGAATTAAATCCCTTTCCGTATGCTGTAAATGCTTGCTGTTGGTATCCATTTGTCTCCAAAGGCAATGGAGTGCACCTCTGGGGGCAAAGCCAAGCTGCCGGAGAATCACAGCACTTGCTGGGGCTACAGAGGCTGGTAACTCATAACTGTTGCATACTGTGTTGTTTTTGCTGCATTAGCAGCAGTAAAGTGACCTCTCCGGGGTGCAAGCCTGGGCAGTATCTATGGAGGTCCTGGGCTGCCTCGCTGATGTGGTCCAAATAAAAGCAGAGCAATACATTTGGCAGCAGCTTGGCTGCATGCTGTAAATGACACTTTTGTTACCGCCTTACCTGGACTTGTGGTCATGTGACCTCAGGAGACATAATAAGTAGGATTGTGGCTACTTTGCCAATTGCCTGAAGCTCTGCTCAGTTAGCTCTTTGGTGCCTGCTTTGTTATTTGGCAAAGGCAACTTATCCAGCTGGCAAAGAAGGCAAGTGCCCAAGGCAGGGGATTTTAAGTGCTCTTAAGAGTAGCAGAACAGGAGAAATGTGATCCATGGGCCCCAACTCTTATCCATTTCCCTGGGGCTTGTGCACGATAATTTCCTACCAAGTCATGCTTCGTATTAGTGAGCAGAGGAGGTGTTCTTTACATTCTTTTGCTTCAAGCACCAAAATCTCTTGCATTGCTATTGTTCCTGAGTTACACTTAAAAATATTTGTTTCCATTTGCTGCTCAGGACCAAATTCAGTGTGTCATTGGATTTTAAATATGAATACTAAACAAGCATATTCTTTCTTTTTCCTCAGAGGCTCTGCACCGCCCCTATGGTTGTGACACAGAACCCCAGGCACTGAATGAAGCCATCAGGTGGAGCTCCAAGGAGAATCTCTTAGGAACCACTGAGAGCGACCCCAATCTTTTTGTTGCACTTTATGATTTTGTAGCAAGTGGTGACAACACACTGAGCATCACCAAAGGTAAGCCAAACCATCTTCTGGGGAGGGGATGCATTGCAAAGATGTATGATCTTGTTCTGACTCTGGGGCAGCAGTACAGTGGTGCTCCTATGGAGACTGAGATGTTGCTGTTGCTGTCCAATAAGAGAGAAGAGTCTGCAGCACTAGGAACAATATACAAGGTGGCTTCACTACACTTCTTGCACGCATGCACTGCACCAGGGGTCAGCAAACGTTTTCAGCAGGGGGCCACTCCACTGTCCCTCAGACTTTGTGGGGGGCCGGATTATATTTAGGGGGGGGGAGAAAAAAGAACGAATTCCTGTGCCCCACAAATAACCCAGAGGTGCATTTTAAATAAAAGCACACATTCTACTCCTGTAAAAACACCAGGCAGGCCCCACAAATAACCCAGAGATGCCTTTTAAATAAAAGGGCAAATTCTACTCATGTAAAAACACGCTGATTCCCGGATCGTCCGCAGGCCGGATTGTAAAGGCGATTTGGCCAGATCTGGCCCCCAGGACTTAGTTTGCCTACCCATGCACTGCACACTTACAAACCACACACATACATGCTCCTTTCTCTCACACCTCTCCCTCTCTGTCCAAGTGCCTTTCTCCCTGTCTCTCGCAGATCACACATACAGAAACATACCCCCCCCCACCCCACAGACCACACATGCATCTGTCTCTCCCTCTCTGCCCAGTGCATTCCTGTCAATTACACACACACAAAGCATACTTGAACAACCCCACACACAATTCAGAGAAGCCCCTCCATGGGCAAAGTAGGTGCCTGCTTCCAGTTCCGTGTGGCCTGCAGACATCAGAGGCGAGTAGGGAAGCCGCCCTGCCTCTCCCATCCACCCTAAACATCCTTGCAAACTAACCAGAGTACAAAAGCACCAGCTCTCCTAGCTCAAGCAACTGCTCTGCACTGCTGTCTGATTTCCAGGGGAGGGGAGGAAGGAAGCATAACTGGAAAGCAGTGGTGCCAAACAGAACTAAGGGAGTGCCACTGCCACCTGGTTTTCCCAGTCAAGGCTCCTGTGCCTTCGATAGCTGCATGCAGAAATTCAGAATCCCATATCAGGAAAATAGCTAGGGAGAAAAGCTGACACTCCCTATTTTTGTATTTATTTGTATTTGTAATTTTTAACTTCCATGCTTTCTAATGTTCTATTAAATGCTTAGAAGTGGGGTTTTTTGGGGGGGAGATATAAAGAGGTTAGGGTTTTTTATGGAAATGTAAAGTGGTATAGAAATGATGTAAAAAAAAGAAATCACTTGAGGATTGCTGTGCCTGCAGGAACCACAGATGACCTTCGCATGTGCCAGACTGGTGATCCCCAAATTTCTGCCTTGTGGACATACTTCTTCAAATATCTGCTAAAGTTTGTCCTGAATACTGTTCCCACAACCAGTTATATAACGGACAAATATGTATGAGGTCTTCAAACATGTTTAAACCACAAGGACAGATACGTTTCTTAGTTAGGTTAAAAAAAAAATTGACAGAAAGGATTAAGCTGCCCAGTCCCCTGAGAAGACAGGAAATTGTTAATAATCTTTTCACTCCTCCCACATCTGTGCTGGACAGACTCCAGTTTATTTCCTGTCTCTAGCCTGAGCAGGTGGCCTTTCTTGAGTACTTTGTCCCGTCATTCCTCGTTTTTTGGCAGGGCAGATGAAATATGATCAATCACACTTGACCCACTTGGAATTTTCTCCTCTTGTGCTTCAGGTGAGAAGCTACGCGTACTGGGCTACAACCAGAACGGTGAATGGAGTGAAGTACGGTCCAAGAATGGTCAAGGGTGGGTTCCGAGTAACTACATCACCCCAGTGAACAGCCTGGAGAAGCATTCCTGGTATCATGGGCCAGTGTCACGCAGTGCAGCTGAGTATCTGCTGAGCAGCCTCATTAATGGCAGCTTCCTAGTTCGGGAAAGTGAGAGCAGTCCGGGGCAACTGTCCATCTCACTCAGGTACGAGGGCCGTGTTTACCACTACAGGATCAATACCACCGCGGATGGCAAGGTAAATCCTCAAGGGAAACCCATTCTTTTTATTGAAAAGGTTCCGCCTTCATTGCTGTTTGAAGTAAAGGCACCTGGAAACAGCCTGTTGCCGTTGCTTTAAGCGAAAGATTCGCATAGATACTTTGCACTGTGATGCCAGACCTTACCCAGCAAGTGCTGTGTTGATGGGTCTCTGCCTAACCCCCTTACTCCATGCTAGGAACAGCAGACGCCATGCATGGGTCCCCGGAATGTCTGTGTTAAGCCACAGCTCAGCGTTAGGTATGAATGTGAATGCTCATGGTTCCTCAGATCATGCCCTGGAGCACAGAAGGGGTAGGAAACCTTCAGCACATAGGCCTAAATAGGCCCACCACACGTCCCCATTGGGCCTGTGAGGCTGTTTCATCTAGTCAAACTCACCTGCCCTACACCCAACATTATAGATGATGTCATCATACATGGCTTGGGTGAAAGGGGCTTTATCAGCAGTGCCTGCATTCATCCATGCGCAGCACTTCCCAAACTTTAGCACATCTTTTCTGCCTAAGCATTTCAAACCATGTGGGCAAAAGCTGGTCACCTGATGTCATTGTGGTGTCAGGTGATGGAGAGGAGGGTGGCACACCTGTCATACTTGTCCCGTGAAGGTGTGCGTGTGTGTGGAGATAAGGATCTGGCCACCGGACAGGTCCAGTGCTCCACAAGAGACATGGGTGGCGCTGTGGTCTAAACCACTGAGCCTATTGGGCTTGCCGATCGGAGGTTCGGCGGTTCGAATCTGCATGACGGTGATGAGCTCCTGTTGGTCTGTCCCAGCTTCTGCCAGCCTAGCAGTTTGAAAGCACACCAATGCAAGTAGATAAATAGGTACTGCTGCAGCGGGAAGGTAAACAGCATTTCCGTGCGCTCTGGCACTTGTCACAGTGTCTTCTTGCACCAGAAGCAGCTTAGTCCTGCTGGCCACATGATCCAGAATGCTGTCTGTGCCCAAACGCCTTACTAGTTCCCCACTCCTGCTCTGGAGGATGCTCAAGCAATGTGTAGATGGAGGTAGCCATTGTTGTGTCTGTGGACAAACGCTGGCTCCCTCAACCTGAAAGTGAGATGAGCGCTGCAACCCCATGGTCGCCTTTGACTGGACATAACCATCCAGGGGTCCTTTACCTTTACCTTTTATACCTCCAAGTGTCTTTGGACCACATCTCCCATTAGCCCCAGCCAACATTGCCAATGGTCAGGAATGATGGGGTTTTTAGCACAGCAATATCTGTGTTAGCCACCCCTGCTTAAAAGGTAACTAAAGAATTACAGTGTAGTTGGCTGTTAAGCTTGAATGTTGATCTCCTTGTTAACAAATTTCATATGTGGCCTGCGCTACTATGCTGGGATAAGCACAGTTGAACTTGTTTATATCCCACTCCATTCCAGGAAATAATATAGCCTTGATAATAGTAGAATGACTCTAATTCAAATTCAAATTCAAAATCCTTTATTAGGCATATCACACCTCACATTAACAAACAAACATCATATACAGACTGTATAAAATACGGGCTCAGCAAACACAATTTATCCCAGTCCTAAATGACTCTAATTTATTTCTATAATTTTGTCTCAAGGAGCCATAGTGAAGCTCACTGGGTGGTGACCTCGGGCCTAACCTGCCTCACAGGGTTGTTGTGAGGATGAAATAGAGGGGAGGAGAACAATGTATACCACCTTGATCTCATTGGAAGAAAAAGATGGTATATAAATGCAATAAATTTTAAAAAATAGATTTTTTTAAAAAAAGCATAATTTTATTAATCTAGATTTCCGAGAGAGCCTACAAAAGAGAACCATAAAACAGATCAAAAACATCAGAAACAAAAGCAGTTATTGTAGCAACAGTAAAAATACAAAAGCTGTAGATATAAAATCAGTTAAAAGCCTGGGCAATTTTTTTTAAATGTCTAAAACATGGCTCTCCAGGCAACCCAGTCCGATGGCGGCATATAAATAACAGTAATTCTTATTAAGAAAGTCTAAATAGATCTTACAAGGAACGCGGGTGGCGCTGTGGGTAAAACCTCAGCGCCTAGGGCTTGCCGATCGAAAGGTCGGTGGTTCGAATCCCCGCGGCGGGGTGAGCTCCCGTCTTTCGGTCCCAGCTCCTGCCCACCTAGCAGTCTGAAAGCACCCCTAAGTGCAAGTAGATAAATAGGGACCGCTTTCTAGCGGGAAGGTAAACGGCGTTTCTGTGCGCTGCGCTGGTGCCGGCTCGCCAGAGCAGCTTCGTCACGCTGGCCACGTGACCCGGAAGTGTCTCCGGACAGCGCTGGCCCCCGGCCTATAGAGTGAGATGGGCGCACAACCCTAGAGTCGGAAACGACTGGCCCGTATGGGCAGGGGTACCTTTACCTTTACCGTAAATAGATCTTAGGAAATGGAAGGATTTTTTTAGTCTTTCACGTGTTAGTTTGCTGCTTGATTTTATCAAATTTTGCATCACTCTTTCACTTGGTGTGGAAGACAGTGAAATCTGAAGCAAGTGAGAACAAAGACACCAGAGGCTATGTGATTCTGAAGACTTTTCCACCGTATTACTGGAGCAATATATTTGGCAGACTCTTACATTGCATATTTGGACCAGATACTTAAAAGATGCTCTTTATGCTGCAACTTTTAAAAGTACTTTTCCAGGGTCAAATCCTCAGCATGTTGGTTTTTTTAGCAATCCAGCTAGACACAGCAGCAGACACCATTGCTTACCAAACTGCCTTTGAATCTTGTATCTGAGAGATTTGCAGTGGAGTGATGTGACTATAACAGTCTTACAGTAAAACATTTTAAAGGACATTTCTTTGATCATTCTTAAATGAGAAAATATTTCATAAGAGCATTTTTGTGTTTCTTACCTTCCCATTTTTCTATTTCACGCTTCTGGGGAAACCCGAGTTTTCCTCCCCAGCCCCTTTCTGGACATTCACATCTTCTTCCTTCTTGTCCGGTTCATATCAGCTCTTCATTCCCTCTTTAACAGGTGTATGTGACAGCCGAAAGCCGTTTCAATACTCTGGCGGAGCTAGTTCACCATCACTCGACAGTAGCTGATGGCCTGGTGACAACCTTGCACTACCCAGCACCAAAGTGCAATAAGCCCACAGTCTATGGAGTCTCCCCCATCCATGATAAGTGGGAGATGGAACGGACTGATATCACTATGAAGCACAAACTTGGTGGAGGACAGTATGGAGAGGTGTATGTTGGGGTATGGAAGAAATACAATCTCACAGTTGCTGTGAAAACACTCAAGGTATGTTGCTAAGGAATTGTATTTATATTTTAACGCTCGTTTGATCGGTTTTTATACTTGTAAGTCACTTATAAACCAGTTTTGGCATCAAGCAGCTGTTGGCATCCGTCTGTCTCAAGAGACAATGGAGTGCCCCTCCAGGGGTGAAATCAAATTGTGTTGTTTTTTCTGCATCAGCCGCACCGAAGTGACCTCCCCAAGGCACAAGACTGGGCAGTGTGCCTGGAGGTCCCGGGCTGCCCAGACAACAAGACGCCCCTCTCAGCCTCACTGATGTGGTCCAAAGGAAATCAGAGCAATACGTTTGGCACCAGCTTGGTTGCAGGAGGTGCCAGAAGGAGACATAACAAGGTGCTATCCAACCGCTTAGAGAGACCACTCCGGATTTGTGTAGGGTCCTTAGCCCTTTCTTCTCCCAGAGATACCTTGCAAGACAGCGGATGTTTAGGCTCAGAGGTTTCCTTCTCCTAGGTGGGCTACCTTCCCAGGTTGACGAGCACCATCGGCTCATCACCTCTCTCGACAGCGTGTGCAGAAACCACCCTTTTGACTGCTGGACCCACTCTTGATCTCATTCACTCAATCTGACAGAGCCTGTTTTTGCATACAGGTGAAGTCCCTAACCCACCGAGGGTTTGGGACACATGGGCTACCCTCATCTGGTTTAGTGACTAGTCAAAGCTCTTCCCGGGGTGTGGCCCGTTGTTGCATGCTGAAAGCTTCTTGGAGCCACAGATGAGCTGGATGCAGGGTGGGGACCAAAGGTGCACAAACTACTTTACGTGTCCCCCACCAGAGGTCCTGCCCATCTCCTAACACCCCATACCTGCCTGCATCATGCAGTATATTAAATAAATAGAGAGATAGTGTTATTTGCAGGTCTGCCTTCACCCACATGAGATCACCCATGGAGGCCCTGGGACTCACAGTTGGTGGGTACGAGACAGGGCCTTCTCAGTGGTAGTGCTGTCATGAAACTCCCTTCCATGGGAAATATACTTGCCTTCCTTGTTAAACAAACTGTAGATATTAGCTGTTTACACCTGCTTTTAGCGGATTAATTTCAGGCTGGTCTAGGCTTTCAAGTATAATTTAATCAGATTAATATTTTTGGTTAGGGTTTGCTTTCTGTTTTACTGCTGGTTTTTAGATTGAATTGTTGTACTTTTGAGTCTGTGTGGTCTTTTTAATTTGTTTTGTGATGTTTTGTACAAATACCTGCGTTACTAATCCTACCTCAAAGCTTTGCGTGACAAGTTAGCAAACATTTTCAGTAACTTGAATCATTCCTTTTAAGTTGCATTCCCTTTTAATTGTGGCTTACTCTTAGACAGTTGTGTTCCCTTTTTTGGCAAATGCCATTGAAGTCTATTCCATAATTTCCATTTAAATTAATTGCAGTTGTTTTCACTTTCAGGAAGATACAATGGAAGTGGAGGAATTCTTGAAAGAAGCTTCTGTTATGAAGGAAATCAAGCATCCAAATTTGGTGCAGTTATTAGGTAAATGCACTAATATGACCATACAGTAATGTGTTTTGCTTTCCGTTTTAATTCATTCACAGTAATACTGTTGTGCTAAACAAACCTGCCCTTCAAGAACAGTTGGAGTATGCCTTCCAAAATCTGTTTACTTTGGCAAGTTTGAACAAAGTTCTAAGTGTGTAAAACCTACATTTTGTAAGATTGTACCTGTCTTACCCATTGCGTATAACTACCCTGTCTCTGGACTGCTATACGCTGGAAATAATATTGCCATTCTGGTTATGCACCTAAAACAAAACACACATGGGTCCAAACATTGTAGTTGTATTTTATGTGAGCTAATAGCCTCCCAGAGATGTGTGGGGTAGGGGGAGAATGGAGCAACTTTGTCCCCCCCCCCCCTTTACTTCCTGAGAATATTTAAATGTTTCCAGTGGAAAAACTGGAAACCTGGAGGGGCACTAGAAAAAAATTCCGTGCCTTATTTTATTTTCTGGAACATGTGAAATGCTTTGTAGTGCAAAGCTCTACACATTTTGAGTGAGTGATATGACATTTTTTTTACGTTAGGCAATTTTCAGAATTACTGTTAGGCTGTTTCAGAGGAAGCAGAATCCACATTGAAAAGGCGCAAGTGAAATAGGATTGGGAGTTTGACAGTCCCTTGCCCCCCCTTTATTGTTGTTTGGTTTTGGTTTTTGCAATGCATAGTACAGTGACTGCTCCTACATAATCTGAATTCTTCTCACGTTCTGATCCATTAAGTTCTACACTTCGTTTTGTATGTTGATATTTCTCACAGTTCTTGTGATTTACATTGCCATAGTAAGGCAAAATGCAGAAATGCTGGGAATTCAAAGAACTTCAGCGATCAGTACTGCACCCCTTATGAAACAGATGCTTGTGTGGTAAGGGCTTGTATGTCACATTCCACTTCTGGGCCAAGGAATTTTGTCTCCACTGAGACACAATGATCCATTCTAGAGCAGAGTTTTCAAATGGCTTGTATAGCTGTGCAAAGTACTTTATAGTCTTGTTTACCATAGAATAACTGGAGATATCACGATTGTTCCCACTTTATATAAGGAGAACTGGGGCGAGGTTATAGTGATGTATTCATGGTCTCAGACAACCAGTGATCATCCGTCCCCAGACCTTGCAGTTGTGTATAGTTCCTTGCAGAGTGAAGTCTCAAACTAAATGGATACCAGGTGGTGGCAATATGGGCAACTGAAGTTCTTCGAACAATGAAACTGGTCAGATCCATACTTCACCTAGCCCAGTATTGTCTCTTCTGACTTCAGTGAACCTCCAGGGTCTTGGGCAGAGGTTTTCCCAAGTGTTCCATGTAGTGTGAGATGCTGAGCATTGAACTTGGGACATGTTCTCTGTCACCGGCCTATGTCTTTATTGAATCCCTTTCCTCTCCAGCTCACTTTCAGAGTTTTCACTGTTAGGGTGAATGCGATATCTGGTTCTGCATACTAGCTTACTGCACAGGAATGAGTTCACTGTGTCCCACTATGTTCAAATGGTATTTATCTTCATCTAGGTCCTTAGCTGCTGTGATAAAGTTTAGTTAGTTTTTGAGTTGGAGATCATTTTTATTCCATTAGCAATAGAGAAGTTGCATTTTAATGTGTCTGTGGGATTTAGTGGATCATGCTAAGGTAAAGGTAAAGGGATCCCTGACCATTAGGTCCAGTCGCGGACAACTCTGGGGTTGTGGCTCTCATCTCGCTTTATTGGCCAAGGGAGCCAGCGTACACCTTCCGGGTCATGACTAAGCTGCTCTGGCGAACAGGCGGAAACGGCGTTTACCTTCCCGCCGGAGTGGTACCTATTTATCTACTTGCATTTTGACGTGCTTTCGAACTGCTAGGTTGGCAGGAGCAGGGACCAAGCAACGGGAGCTCACCCCGTCGCGGGGATTTGAACTGCCGACCTTCTGATTGCCAAGGCCTAGGCTCTGTGGTTTAACCCACAGCACCACCCGCATCCCTAGTGGATCATGCTAGATGTGACCTTTTTGCAACCAGTTGTGGTGACTTCTTTGTGGATGAAAATGGCAGGACATTCCTGCAGCGGAAGGAAGGAAGGAAGGAAGGAAGGAAGGAAGGAAGGAAGGGCAAAGCCTGTTTGTCTATTTGTTTGTTTTCCCCTTTACTGCAGTCCCAATTCTGAACCAGAGGCACTGCATAGTCACTGCATAGGAACAGCCGTCAGCATAATATCCATTCCCTGAGTGAGGAAGCTTTTAATTCTGGACAAATCCTCCATGTTTGCCTCCTCTGTCAAGCTTAGTGCCACTTTAATCATGTTTCTTTTTATTTCCTTGGCTGATTATTTCCTTGTTCTGTTTATCCAAATCCTATTGTGTGGAAATCCTTCCCTATGACACTGTGGAAATAGGAAAATCAGTGCTTACCTTGGAAACTTGAACATAACCACACACACCCCCACACACCTTACCTTAATACTACCTGCTGTTCCAGCATTTTGGGGACTCTCTGCTTCAGTCGCATTAGAAGATTGTACCTGCAATAAGAGATAAACCTTACCAGACTCTACCATCCTCCTGCCAGGTGTGTGTACTCTGGAACCCCCGTTTTATATAGTGACAGAATACATGCCGTATGGGAACCTGCTGGATTACTTGCGGGAGTGCAATCGGGAGGAAGTAACTGCTGTTGTCCTGCTGTATATGGCTACCCAGATATCCTCTGCCATGGAATACCTGGAGAAGAAAAACTTCATCCACAGGTTAGCAGAATGTCTTGGCTTTTGTAAAAGGAGGGTGAGCGTGTGGGTCTGGGTGACCTTCCATGAGGAACTTTGATAAGATCTGATTATATGCTTTTAAGGAGAACTCTTGCAAGTTCTAGTCACGAGGCAATTGCCTCCTTAACAGAATAGCTTTGTGCCAGCTATTCCCCCTAGACAGAGCTTAACATATTTCAGGTTTTCTAAACAATCCTGAGCTTCTAGCTTTCACGTGAGGGGAAACATAGCAAGTTTCCTCTGAGAAAAAAAGTCTAAAATGTTAAATATCTTGAATAAATATTTGAAGCCTCAGACAAGTTAGGAGAACACTTTGGGCAGCAGCGGTGAATAATTTGTTACCTACGCAGCTCAGTGTTTCTCCTGTGATCATACCCCACACACACACACACACCCCACAAAAAAAAAGAATTCTCCACGTCCCCCGTTTTCTCCACTCCTGTATCTTTCGTCACTTAAGTCCTTGCATGGAAATGGAAATCCTGGTGTTTACTCTAGAGTAAAATCAAGGAAATTTACTCTACTTAGGTAGCATGTAGAACTCATATTTTCTTGTTGTGTTTCAGTGCAGGATGACCCTGCCAGCATGTTTTGCCTCCCCTATGAATTGATTTGCATATGCTTTTGTCCAATAGCTGTATCTCAACTGTTCTTCCTTTGGTGTTTTAAGAGTTCCACGAGTCCCTCAGAGAATAGCGACTACAGTTTATATTCTGAAAGGGCCTTTGTTTTGGGGTACATTCTTCTACTGCAGTAGACTGTCGTCTGTCATCCAAATTGCTGCCTTGTTTGGCATGTTCAAGAGGCATGAATTTGGAAACTAAGCCTCTTTAGACCAGAATCAAATAGTATTCAAGTACCTTTCTATTTCCCTGTTCTCTGATTTGAATTTCAAAGGTTCACATAAGATGATTGCTCAGCATGATAGCATAGTAAGATTTACTGCGCTCAGCGGAGACTGTCACTGACTGTTTAATAGCAACCAGAAGCTGATTTACTGTAGCCCATTTTCATGCTTGCAGTGTACTTAATTAAAAGTGTTCCATGTCAAAGGAGGGAGTGCCATTTATCTTGGCAGAAGCTTTGGCCTTGTTGCAAAGGGTACAACTTGGTTACAGTGCTTCAGGCCTTTGCTCTAAAGAAGTGAAATGTTGTTGTTGTTTAGTCGTTTAGTCGTGTCTAACTCTTCGTGACCCCATGGACCAGAGCACACCAGGCACTCCTGTCTTCCACTGCCTCCCACAGTTTGGTCAAACTCATGCTGGTAGCTTCGAGAACACTGTCCAACCATGTCGTCCCCTTCTCCTTGTGCCCTCCATCTTTCCCAGCATCAGGGTCTTTTCCAGGGAGTCTTCTCTTCTCATGAGGTGGCCAAAGTCTTGGAGTCTCAGCTTCACGATCTGTCCTTCCAAAGAAATGAAATAATGAGGCACAAATACAGACTTTGCACAGCTCACATTCTTTACCACCTGTCCCCAGCTGTGGATTCTGCACTCAAAATAAACTATGCAAATTTATAGCATGCAATTTGCACAGCATCCTTGCCTTCATTTTGATTGCTTGAGAGACACAGTGGATATGTTAGCGATGCATCCCTGGGTGTTATAAAACATGGAGGCGAACAGAGAACAAGCATGCCAGGCACCAAAGCTGTACCTTTCAAACGCTGAAGCGTTGATCAAGCTCCACATGTTAGTAAGCAGACCTCTAGAACCACAAAGGCTAAATATGTTCCTGTGCACCCGGTGACAACCATTTTTGAGCTGTAAAATCATATTCACTTATCTGTGCCAGAAGGTTTAGGGTGAATCTTGATGGCACCAGAGGTCGTCATTCTGCAGTGTCTTTGTTTACACAGGGATCTAGCAGCTCGCAATTGTCTGGTTGGAGAAAACCACGTGGTGAAAGTGGCTGACTTTGGATTAAGCAGGTTGATGACTGGAGACACTTACACAGCTCACGCTGGAGCAAAGTTTCCTATCAAATGGACAGCCCCAGAGAGTCTGGCCTACAACACATTCTCAATCAAATCAGATGTTTGGGGTAAGAAGGGAGAACATTGCTCTTATGCATGGAGTCCCTGTGTACATTTAAATGTGGGCTGCTCTGGTATTCTTAGAATGAGCTCTAATCTAATACAGCTAGCAATGTATTTTGCCCGAAACTGACTACCTCATAGTCAGGTTGTAGAGAACTGTTGACACCACCTAAAGGTAAGACCTTTTCGCTTATGGAGCACAAGCCAGTGGGGTAGCTGGGGCTGTCACAAAGAACATTGTAACATTGAAGTGCCTCTTATCTCTTCAAAACCATAAACATAATTTTTCTTATGGGTGGGAAACCTTTCTACCACATTTTGATTAACATCTGTCTGCCGGTGGGTAGTTAAAATTACTTTGTGGCTTTCCCTGCAATATAACCTGAATTTGAGGCTTAAGAACCTACAGTGGTACCTCTGGATGCGAACGGGATCCGTTCCGGAGCCCCGTTTGCATCCTGAAGCGAACGCAACCTGCGTGTGCGCGGGTCGCAATTCGCCTCTTCTGCGCATGTGCGTGACGTCATTTTGACCATCTGTGCATGCGTGAGTGGCGAAACCCGGAAGTAACGCGTTCCGTTACTTCCGGGTCACCACGGAGCATAACCTGAAAACGCTCAACCTGAAGCAACTTCAACCCGAGGTATGACTGTGCTCTGATTAATTTAGATTGCCACATCAAAGAACAATAGCGGTGTGCAATTTCCCTCTACTTTATAAGCAGTAGTTCTAAAAAAGCTGCCTTCTGCCACAGTTTAGGAAACACTGGTTGATGGTCGTGAACTGTCCTTCCTTGGAAGTATTTAAGCAGAGGTTGGGTGGCCATCTGTCATGGATGCTTTAGTTGAGATTCCAGCATTGCAGGGGGTTGGACTAGATGACCCTTGGGATCCCTTCCAACTCTACAATTCTGTGATTCTATGAAATGAGAGGAATATCAGGTTAAAAATGACTTTGTTTAACTTGCAGCCTTTGGAGTCTTGTTGTGGGAGATTGCCACCTATGGAATGTCACCTTACCCTGGCATTGACCTCTCTCAGGTTTATGATCTACTGGAGAAAGGCTACCGGATGGAACAACCTGAAGGTTGCCCCCCAAAAGTCTACGAACTCATGAGAGCATGTGAGTATTGCGTTCTCGTCTTTACTTTTAGTAACAAGACGTAGATTGGAGACATCGTGAGAACATGCCGGAGGACTGGCAGTCCTGCCGACTTGCCGTAACAGACAGGTTGCATATAGAGCTGGGAGTAAGTCTGTTAGCATGCAACCAGTCTCTTGTCCACAATGCAAGAGAATCGTTACCAGCTGACATCTGATGTAAAAAATCAACAGAAGCAAAAGACGGGTCCATTGACACAAACTTCCGCTTAGAGGTTTGTGGAGACTCCATGTCACGTAATACAACAGCATCAGTGTTGTATGAAATAGCATCTAGGGGATTTCCATTAATTTATTTGCCTCATGGTGACACAGGGGAAAACTCTTGAAAAAGACAATTCTGACAAAAACCATGGGGTTTGGATCCAAAGTTGCTTGCGTAAAAGGCCATAGAAGCGGAGAGCCTTCCTTCTCCTCACTGCAACTTCCTGAGCCCTCCAAAAAGCGTCTCTGGAGAATCGGGAGCCCCTTCGCAGCAAGGACTGTAGTAGGGTGGGAGGAATTGCCAAAAAAACCACCAGGCATTCCTCATTATTCTTTTCAACTTTTGTAAAGTTAAACACAAACAACAAATGAAATTTCTTTGTAACCAAGCATGTAGACCTCTGGATATTTTTCAATTTGCAGAACACCAAGACTCTGGCGACTGCTCTAAATTCCGAGGCACCAGTAACTTGCCTTTTAGGCGTACAGTACTGTGTCCAGAGGGATGCGGGTGGCGCTGTGGGTAAAACCTCAGCGCCTAGGACTTGCCGATCGCATGGTCGGCAGTTCGAATCCCCGCGGCGGGGTGCGCTCCCGTCGTTCAGTCCCAGCGCCTGCCAACCTAGCAGTTCGAAAGCACCCCCGGGTGCAAGTAGATAAATAGGGACCGCTTACCAGCGGGAAGGTAAACGGCGTTCCATGTGCTGCGCTGGCTCGCCAGATGCAGCTTGTCATGCTGGCCACGTGACCCGGAAGTGTCTGCGGACAGCGCTGGCTCCCGGCCTATAGAGTGAGATGAGCGCACAACCCTAGAGTCTGTCAAGACTGGCCCGTACGGGCAGGGGTACCTTTACCTTACTGTGTCCAGGGACGCAGTTGGCACTGTGGGTTAAACCACAGAGCCTAGGGCTTGCCGATCGGAAGGTCGGCGGTTCGAATCCCCACGACGGGGTGAGCTCCCATTGCTCTGCCCCAGCTCCTGCCAACCTAGCAGTTCGAAATCATGTCAAAGTGCAAGTAGATAAATAGGTACCACTCTGGCGGGAAGGTAAATGGCATTTCCGTGCGCTGCTCTGGTTCGCCAGAAGTGGCTTAGTCATGCTGGCCACATGACCCGGAAGCTGTACACCGCCTCCCTCGACCAGTAAAGCAAGATGAGCGCCGCAACCCCGGAGTCATCCGGGACTGGACCTAATGGTCAGGGGTCCCTTTACCTTACTGTGTCCAGTAGGGTGCAGTATTATGTCTGGTATTACTTACCAAGCAGGAGACAACATTTCAGAAGCAAATGGAAAGGCTGTTTGATGCTGATATGGTTAAGACGTTAGGTCAAGCAAGTAATAGGGAGGTTGGAGCCTGTTTTGATCAAATATTCTTCCATTGCCAAGAGATGTTGAATTCAGGGTGGTTCGTCACTTTTTAACAAATACAATCCAGTTTTCATAATACCAATAATGGATTGGGATTCAGAGGTCTAGGGCTTGCAGAAGTCACCAAACATAGGATCGTAAAATCCTGTATTATAGAACATCGTTTCATTTGCATGTCTGCTAAACCATCATTTATTGCGACATAGTAAACCTTGGGATATGGCCAGGAGGAGGAGTTCAGAAGATTTTCCTTCTGCTTTTGCTTGCCATGTTGCCAAGACACAGAACTTTTTTCTGCTTCTCTCGTGCTTTAGGCTGGAAATGGAATCCCCTAGACAGGCCTTCATTTGCTGAGACTCATCAAGCCTTTGAAACCATGTTCCATGATTCTAGCATCAATGAAGGTGAGAATCTTTTTTCCTTATCTTTCAACTTTCTATAAATGTTTACTTCTAAATCACATGATGTTTTCCCTCACCTTTCTAGCAGTTGAGAACTTTTGGGGCCGTTTCTTCAAATTGACCTCTGGATTTTTACTGGAAAATGGATTCTTAATTTGTGGTTTGGTGCTGTGAGGATGAGCAGCTGTAAGCCTCAGGATCACACCTCTGTGTGCGTGAGGGGAGAAGCTTTAAAACATCTCACAGTTGTGAACAAATCATTTTCCTGTAAACAGCTGAATATGGGAAACACTGGTTTATTTAAACTGCTTAGTTCGTAAACCAGAATATTAAGTTACAGTCCTGATGCTGGTTTGATAGAACTAGCTATGATTCAAATATGCCAGTTTCCTGTAATGTGGAGACAGCCCATTTATTCACAGCCAGAAATGGAAAATTTTAAAACGTCATCCTTCATGCATAAAGTAGAGGAAAGCACGCACACAGCAACTCATTCTTTTAACACAAAATCACGGCTTATGATTAAATCTGCTGGGCCAAAGTAAAAAATCTTGGGGTTGGAAGTCGGTGAAAGGAAGAGTTGTGCCACAAATAAGCCCTTTTCTGTTTCTTGTGTATCATGACTTTCTGAAAAATTCAATTTCCTGGTGGCTTCAACCTAGCTTTTTTATCTAAAATTCTAGTATTCATGTTTGCAGAGATGTGTTTAAACATGTAGCCAGAAGCTGTGAACAGCTCCACTTTAAGATCCCAAATGGATGTGACATGTGATAAGATCTCCTATTGTATTTAGTTTTGTTTAAGATGAGTCATAAGCAGGGAGCTATAATTGAACCTGCTCAGATTGCTATTACACATGGATGGAGGTACGTGATATGTGCAGGGAACTCTGCAGGAGGAGATGCAGTTTCCACTGGTCCTGCACCTCTGTCTTGTGCTTCTGCAAACCTCTCCATCCCCCTAGCCCCTAGCCTCCTGTGCACAGTGCACACCCAGGGGAAGGGGGAATCCCCTTGCATTAGTGCTGATCCTTGTGCTAGCACAAAAATTGAGTTGAATACTGCCATTCATTGAGTAGCTCCTCGGTTTCCCCCTGCAGAGCATGCACTGAGTTCGGGCAAAAGAGTCCCAGCAGGCCTGGGCCACCACTCTGGGTGAGCTGACCATGGTTTCGTAGAAAACCTAGAAGCAACACTGGAAGGAAGCTTGAGGTTACTTGTGCTCCTTCTTCCCACACTTCTGAGTCCTGTGCAAACCTAGGCAGGAAGCAGCATGTATCTCAGGGAAGTTGCAGGTTTTATTTTCTGTGACAGAATGTGCATCAAGCCAGAGGGAATATTCATATCTCTTCTTACCTTCTCTGCATTGCACAGGGCGACCCAGAGTAGTCCACACTTTTTTCCACTGCTGCTTCCATCCTCTGTTCTTTCTCTCCTCTGATTTCTGTGTACCAGGCAAGATAGAAAACTTGAGTACTAGGCACTGTTTGCTTCTTGGTGAAAGCTTACCTCTTGTTTCCTACAACAGTCTATGTTGCTGTTGTGGCATTTTGAGACCCTTAGAACTGACCCCTCTCTCTATACTTGAATTCAGTCTCTTCCTAGAATCTCTCAGTGATGTTTCTTTTTCCCTTGTCCAGTGCCTCTCGTTAGCACCCAGGTCTGCTTTCCTCTTCCTTTGCTGCTCTCTGTTCCAACTATTCCCCTGACGTTTCTTACAGAAGTGGCAGAAGAGCTTGGAAGGACAGCATCTTCTTCATCCATAGTTCCATATTTGCCTCGTTTGCCCATGCTTCCTTCCAAGACCAGGACCTTGAAAAAACAGGCTGAAAACAAAGAGAACATCGAAGGAGTTCAGGAGGTTGTAGAGCATTCTGCTTCCAGCTCTGCACCAGGTATGCTTGGTAAGCAAAAAGCTTTGAGTGCTGTGACTTCATAAGTGATTTCTCTAATATTCAGACTTGGGCTCCTGTAGGGCAGTGTCTCGAAGAAAGGCCTAGCCCTGGGCTGAGGGCACTTTGCTCTTCTTCTCAGAATCAGTTCTTTCTTCTGCCATTGTGGTAGAAGGAAATAGATTTGTAGCTTTCTACGGGAGTGGCTGGTTTGAGCCAGCTTCATAGCTGTGTCTCCCCCCCCCCCCAATAATCCATACCAGAGCAAACAAAATGGGTGAACGTTCAGTCGACGCTCCATGGCTGCAGTCCCTTAAATTTGTCAGAAAACATACGTGGGATTAGCACGGGAAAAATAGGATGTGGGTCATTGCAAGCTAACTTTGCATCGTGAATTGCAAGTGTAATGCAGGAAGAAGTTATTCCTTTTCCTACATAACAAAATTAAAAAGGCTGTAACACTCCGTTTTGAAAACTTTCTCCAAATGAGGGCAACTAAGAATAAGTCACTTTGTAGGTATAGCTGTAATTCATTACTAAATGTAAGGGTTTTAGCAGCATAAATGTGTAAAGTTGTCTTCTTTATAGTGCCTACCACAAAACAGGTGAAATGAATGTTTCTCAGTACACACAGTTAGGAAGTGCTTATCTAAGGAATGGATTCTAAGAAAGAGCTATGCAAAAAGGGACTGATTCTGCTCCATAGATGTCTTGGATTGTCTGAGAACAAAGCAAATTTAATATCTTCCTAGTCTCACTGAAGCTCTTAAATCAGAAATAGAGAATCTCTAACACTCCATATGGTGTTGAACTCTCACCAGCTTCAACCAGCATGCTAATGGTCAGATTATGGAAGCTGTAATCTGGAAACACCTGGAGAAACATCCTTGCAGTCTCAGATGCAGTTTGATGGGGTGAGGCTGCCCTGCATACAGGAGATGGGCCGCTGATACAGATCCCATACTGCTAAGGTGATATTACAGGTGTCTTACAGACACTGTAAGCTTTTCTCTCCTGAAGGGCAAATAATTTGCAGACATGATTTTAATTGGGAAAGTAGCATGGAAGGGGGGGGGTTAAAATCCTCCTCTTGCACTGTGATTTCATTGATTTCAATTTAATTGTTCTGCAAGGGACAATGACAATAAAGATAGCGTATTTGTTTCAGGGGGCTGCAGCTGTTAATATATATGTTTTTTAATTCTAGGAGAGCCCAATCATGTCTAGTTGCAGCTAGTAAGCAACTATTTGCAATAAGCCCACACATGGGTGATATAGTACACTGCATAACTTTGTGTAGTCAGAATCCCAACCTTCCTAAATACCTGGCAGCATGGTGGAAAGTGTCTGCTCTCTCTCCTTCTCTTTAGGTTTTATCAGAAGCACACAGACGACCAGTGGATCCCCAGCACTACCTCGCAAGCAGAGAGACAAGTCGCCCAGTGGCCTGTTGGAAGACACCCGGGAGACCACCTTCACCCGAGACAGGAAGGGGGGCTTCTTTAGCTCTTTCATGAAGAAGAAAAACGCCCCCACGCCCCCAAAGCGCAGCAGCTCTTTCCGCGAGATGGAGAACCAGCCTCACAAGAAGTATGAGCTGACGGGTAACCTTTCAGCCGCTGGTCCTCTGCAGCACATCGATGGGTTTTCTTTTACACCCTCCCAGCAGGATGGAAACCTTTGCTCGTCTAAGTGCTATGTTGGGGGCTTCACGCAGCGGAACTTCTATGGGGATGACGGCGGTGGCGGCGGCAGCATGAGCAGCGGAGGGGGCACAAGTACCGGCGGTGGGTGGTCCGGCATCACGGGCTTCTTCACGCCACGGCTGATTAAAAAGACCCTGGGTTTAAGAGCCGGGAGGCCCACCGGTGGGGAGGAAGCCTCAAAGCCTTTCCCCCGGTCCAACTCGACATCTTCCATGTCCTCGGGTCTCCCTGAGCAGGAGAGAATGGCCATGACCCTTCCCCGAAATTGCCACAGGTCCAAAGTCCAGCTGGAAAGGACAGTCTCCACCTCCTCTCAGCCCGAGGAGAACACTAGCAAGTCCAGCGACCTGCTCTCTAAAAGGTGCGAAGAGGTTCCCACTCTGACCAGAGACAGACCAAAAGCCAAACTTCTGCCCAGAGGTGCCACGGCTGTTCCCCTCAGGACCCCTTCTGCGGATGCGGCTGTTTCTGAAAAGGACACTCAGGGGCCAACAGCCACAGCGAGCCTGAAGAGCAAAGAGAAGAACAGCGGGACGCGGCAAGGGTCCCTAGAAGGCGAGGAGAAGTCGGGCTGGCCTTCTCCACCCAAGGCTGCGGCAGTCCTTCCTGTCACCCACAACCACAAAGTGCCCGTTCTCATCTCACCCACTCTGAAGCATACGCCAGCAGATGTGCAGCTGATTGGCACAGACTCTCAGGGGAATCGCTTCAAGCTCTTATCTGAGCACCAGGGCACGGCTTCCAGCGACAGGCCCAGGCGGATAAAACCAAAGTGCGCTCCACCTCCACCGCCAGTCACGAGGCTCCTAAACCAGCCACCCATTTGCTCAGATGTGACAGAGGAGTTGAATAACGGGGCGTTGGTACAGCCTGGGCAGGAAGCCAGCGAGGGCAGCAAAAAGGTGGTGGTGGTGGCAGCAACGGCACCTGCCGGTGGAAAAGCCGGAAGGCCTGTAATGCCCCCACCTCAAGTGCCTCTGTCATTGTCTTCCACCTCACCTGCCAAAATGGCCAATGGTACAGCGGGAGCCAAAGTAGCACTGAGAAAGACCAAACAGACAGCTGAGAGAATCTCCGCCGACAAAATCAGCAAAGAGGCTCTGCTAGAGTGCGCAGACCTCCTCTCGAGTGCCATTGCCGAGCCCACCACAAACAGCCACTTGGTGGACACGGGGCACCAGCTGTTGGATTACTGCTCAGGCTACGTGGACTGCATCCCGCAAACGCGCAACAAGTTTGCCTTCCGGGAAGCTGTGAGCAAACTGGAACTCAGCCTGCAGGAGCTGCAGGTGTCCTCAGCAGCTGCTAGCGTGCCCGGAGCAAACCCTGTACTTAATAACTTATTGTCTTGTGTTCAAGAAATCAGTGATGTTGTCCAGAGGTAGCTACTGTTTATAATCACCCAGTTAGGAGGAAAGAAGTCTACACCGAGTGGAGGGAGAAGGGTCAGGATGCCTACCTTCTGGTGTTTTCCCCCTACCTTGATACTTTGGAAAGGAAAGACTGATACTTGAGTGAGTTTTATGTGAAGTACCTCAAATCACTGAGCTCTCATGTTTACAGGTTCATCTCAGTACATGGGGCAGATGGGGAGGGGGAAGCCAAGCTTCACTTGGGGGGTGGGGTGGGGGTCAGATGGTTTGCAGCTGAGTGAGGAGGGCAGAATGTCAAGAACTTGCCCTAGCCAGAAAATGCTTCTGCAAAAGGGGAGCTTATTCTCTGATTCCCCTTCCAGAAGGTAGGAGAACCAAGAGCAGGGCCTTGGTTTTGGGAAGCGCCTGCGGATCTCCACAATGTTGTTCAGATGACCAGAATTATTGGAGAGGGTGTGGGGTGGGATCCTTTTCTGCACTACTGCATGTTTTGACCTTCTGGGATTGTGAGAGAAAGGTTCAGAGGCTCCATTGGAACGGAAGTGGACTGATCTTCCCAAGTGGGAGAGGATTTATTTTGGGGGAAGGTCTGTGGAGCTGCTGGAAGTGGTGCATTCGTTCACCTGGCTAACTTCCACAGTGCATTTTGCTGCTGTAGTAAGAGTTGCAAAAAAACCTATCCAATATAAGAAACACATCCCTTTTTTTGTCATCCTTCTCACATATTTTACTATCCACACATCCAGTCCTTCACAGCTTCTTCCATGATGGTTGAGCTGACTTGCCACTGGGTCAATCTCTCACTCCCACTCACTCACTCACTCACTCTCACTTGCACGCACACTCAAACTGGCTGTCATCACCCTGGTAGTGTAGCATGGGTATCTAACCTGGCACTCAGTTGAGTAGTTTGGGCTGTAGCACAAATTTGCCAGCATGTGTCCAAAAGCTGTAATGTCTGTTTTTAAATGTTGATACAACATTGGCCCCCTCTCCTTTGATAAACCTTGAGGGGCCACCCTGGATTAAAGACACTGCAGAATGCTGCTGTTGCTCTCTACATTCCTTTTTTTATATATAAAAAAATGCTTACCCTAATCCAGCTACTTTTTTGAGGGAACCAGAAACCTGAGGTCATAATGTCTCCTGTTAGAATTACAAATGGGCTCCTTTGGCAGTACCTAGTCAGAGTAATTACTTTACCATCCATATTTAAAAACAGGACCTTTGCCCTATTCAGAATTATGAGATACTGTTTGGTTTTCCTAGAAATGCCCTGAATGTGTAGCGTAATGGGGCGAAGGGAGCCAAGAGGGTAAAATTGAGTTTGGTGTCTGGGAGGAGGGGAAGAAGGGGCCCTAAAGTAAGAATGAGTCCTCGTTACACTCGTTAAGTGTGAAAGATCTTAGCAAATTTGGGGTTCAGTTGAGATCTGGGTGAGGAGGGTGGAGGAGTTTGAATGCCGTTGTCCTTCCTGTAGATAGCATCACAAGCTTGCGATGGCCTTTTTCCGGCTGTCCCTTTTTTTGAGCCGGAAGCATTTGACATCCATATGGATTGGACACTACTGGTATGGTTGGGTTGGAGGAATGCCCATGCCATCATGCAGGCAGTCGATGCCACATAATGTAAAGCAGGCCTTGGTTTCCGTCTGCAGCTGTTCTTTCCTGTCCTAGAAAATTCCCAGATTGTCTTGATATGCAGGTGTTATCCACCTGCTGGACTTAGCCGTTGTAGTATGGTTAAGGTCTGCCGTATGCTGCTATTCCTGTGACATCTCTCTTATAAACACAAGAACATGAAACCTGTTGCCTGATATCACACATAGAAATGCTTCTCTCACACAGCTATAGTTCTGTCGTTGCTGAACTGAGGCTTTTGAGAGAAGTTGAATTGCCCTGGCAAGGTGTATATCTCTTAGGCATGGGAAGAATTCTGGCTCTCTGAAATCCAGCAAATGACTGCAGCACTTTCTTGTGCCCCCAGAAGGTATTTGGCAAAGGAGGGAAGGCATGTAGTTCTTTCTGGGGACTTGTGTGCCCCTTCTGCCCCACAAGAAAATTCAGCACAGGATCTTCCCATCATTTGTTAGCAGCATTGGTCATAAATAAAATAAAATAGAAATCAGGGTCTGGTTTGTTTCGCACCTTAATCTTTTTAAAATGCGGCAGTTTTCCTTTTACAAGCTTGAGAGTTGGAATTGTATTGCTATGCTGTTTGTTTTATATTGAACCTCCAGTGATGGTGGAAGGGTGCAAACTTGCCGCTCGTTGGGGCTTTCTCTCCAAAACTCTGATTTTGACTCCTTTTCCATTGGCTGCACTAACTCAACAACCACCACAGCATAAAAAGCAACTTCTCCCATGGTCTAGTCTAGAACTAGATTGGCAATGAACTCTGACAAGTGGCCCTTGCTGCTCCGATGAGTGCATGGCAATGGAAAGGTGAAGGGAACCGGTTTGCTTCCTAGGCTGGACTGAATAAATCAAAAGTGGGCAAATAGAGGTGAAGAGCCTGGCCAGACATTACATTCATCAAATGTAAAGTTGCCATGAATAAACCAGTTTCTGATTTGCTGAGAATATTGAAGGATTCTGCAGATGCAGGCAGAGAAAGACTTTGGCAAGCACACAGGAAAGCAGAAGACTCTAGGCAGGCTTCTCCTCCTTGATTCTCTGCTGGTCTCTCTCCGTAACGGCATCCCTCCCCTCCCCACCCTGCAGTTGGGAAGGTGAAGCTAGCACTAAGCAGAGATGAGTGACCAAAGGAGAAAGGAGACCAGTGGAGGGAGCCTTGTATGCCACCTGGTCCAACCCTGCTCAATGCAGGAAGCCCAGGGCAAGAGCATGCCAATGGAATGACTGTCCAGCCTCTGCTTAGAAACCTCCAGGGCCTGAGAGTCTACCATCCCCCTAGGTAACTATTGTCAGCCTGTCCTATTAAAGGAGCTTCTTCTGACGTTCAACCTAAGTCTCCCCTTCTCCCCTTCTGTAACTAAGCCTTGCCCTCTTGGGCAACAGACAGCAAGTCTTTGCCCTCTTCTGTGTGACAGCCCTTTAGGCAGGGCTCTTTTTTCCCCCCAGCTGGAGCTCACCGGCTCCTCTCAAGTGGGCACCATTGCCACTCTTAAGAGAACAAAGGAGAAGTTCATGGTGAGCTCTGGCACCTCTTTTTCTAGAAAAATAGCATAGCCGTTAGGTATTTGCAGAGTGATGCAATATTCCACCATAGCCTTCTCTTTGTCAGGCTAAACGCACCCTGTTTCCTTAACCTTTCCTCATAGGACATCTTTTCCATACCCAGCCATTTTCACTGCCATCCTCTGAACCCATTCCAGATTGTCTCTATTTTGCCAAAATTAGCCGGCAACCCATTGCCTGGGGGCCTACTGTCAATGCCTTCTCTGGTCGCCTTTTTGTAGCATTCCTCAGAGGTCCAGTGGCCTTTTTTCCCTTTGGCATAGGCACAGCTATCAATACCCATCACCTTCTCCTAGCTCCTTTCCATTCATTGCTGCTGTCCGTGGGGACCACTCATATCACCTTCCATCCTGCCATAATGACCCCCGATGCCGCATCAAAACCAGGGACATGGGGAAGCCAGAATGTTGAGCAGAGTGGTGAAACCTTTCCATTCTAAGCCACTGGACTGTGCAAGCCTGGGTATCCATCACCAGTGGTACAGCATTTTGTAGAAGAGAGCCCTGAAGGGACCCTAGCAAGGGCGCCTCCAACCTAGACATCCTCAGCTCTCAAAATCAATCTCCATTGAATTTCTTGGAGGAAACACTACCTAGCCTGTCTGTCTTGAGGAGCTTCAGGATTCTTAGCAGCCAAGGCTTGGCTTAAATGTGACAATTTTTTAGTTGATGAGTAATGCATAGCCTGGTTTTCAGATACCTCTGTGTGTTGGAAGTAGAGGCAACCTAGCAAAATTTTATTCCGGGTGTTGTTTAACCTTTGCATAGACAATTTTTGAAAGGGGGTGGACCCAAAATGTTCTGCTCCAAACAAAACCACAGTCAGTATGTGTTAAGTCGGAAAACAGAAAGTAGGAGCACTGTTGCAACTCTCCCCACTTCTTGTTGGCAGGGTTGTCTTGAGTAGAGAATGCAGCCGTCATCTCAGCATCTTGGTCCTGTGTAAATATATGTTAAAGGCACACTGTTGTTGTGTTCCCTATCTCAGGTACCTTCTGAAGTGGGGAAACTTGGAAAGAAATACATTTTGGATTGCACTACTAACCCCACAAGCAGCAATACAGGAACAGGGAAGCTCTGAGGCTTTAGCATAAGGTTAGAAATGACCATCTTTAAGCTTTCTTGAGAGGTTCTCTGGCTGCTTTCCCCCAGCCAGATTGATGCATGTTGATCATGTTGAGGATGATCCAAGTCGCAGCACAAAACATCTGGAGGCTGAGGAAGGCTGTTCTGCAGCAAAGCAAGAGGAGGCCAGAATCTTTTCTAACAGCTGTCGTTCCTTGACAGTCACAAGGAGCTCTAGCCGTGCACCATTTTGAACTTCTCACTCTACCTAGAAGTTGTGCTCTTGGGAAAGCCATAGCTGAAACATAGGGAAATGGACTATGTTTCAACTACAGCACAAGCTTCCAGAATTTATTATGATTTATTGGGCATGCTTTTAGCCTGCCGTTCATCTAAGTAGACCACAGAGTGTGCAGTACACAAACTACATACAATTATGTTCGATGATATTACATAAAATCAGGGTGGTGGTGGTGGCTATAAACCAGTTAAATAGGCATCAGGTTACCAGTAAGAACAGCAGAGATTCAAAAGTACACTGATCAGCGGGTGTCTCACAAATGAACTTGTAGATGGCTGCAGTTTGATGTCGCCCATAGTTCATGTGCAGACAATAGCACAGGGACGCCAACCTTGTCTTAACATTATTTGGGGGTTGGCTCGTTTTAAAATCATCCTTGATGCCTGATTCTTCATTCTGATAGTTTTCTTTCCTCCCCTGTCAGTTTTGTTGCTGCTGCAGGACTTGGGGGGAACAAGAGTTCTTGGAGAACTCAGAGTGGCTCCTGTCCATTCTGAGTGAAAGCGCAACACACCCGTCCGATTGCTACTTCAGCTTTCCAGAACTAAGCTTGTTCTGAAATGGCCCCAGAGTTAGCTGCTACAGTTATTTTCCTTCCAGCCACAAACTTTTTTGGTGGGTGCAGGTGGGGGCTGACCAGTGGTGTTGAATCCCTCTAAATAATCCACATCAGAGCAATTCGGTGTAGAAAAAGATTAGGGTTAAACATTAACCTCCATACATTTCCCCCCCGCCCTCAAGCCTTTTCCAAAAACTAGTTGCGACTTCTCTTCCCACCTCTTTGAACTTTGCTTGGGTTGGTTCTTCGGTATCTTCCAGTTGCGGCTTTGGTACTTGGGTGCATTATAATTTAATGACTCAAATATTGTGAGGACAGTTGGGAAGGAAAGATGGCGCATTCAGCATGAATGGCCCTGCTAAAAGCACATGAAGAAGTATGAGGCCCGTGTTGGAGAAAGGAAATCGTGACCTGTTCTTTGCTCCTTCTGCCCTTGGGGGAAGAGAAAATCACAGCATAGCATTTCTGGGATCCCTCTTTTGAGAAAACTGCTCCTGGTCACTGTAACACTCCAACATGTGGGTGTCTTGTATACATGGACTGCTTCCCTATTGACTTCGGAGTTTGCAAATGTAGGGCAGCGATGGTAATCGCAGCATTCACAGATTTCTGTTTTGTTTCGTTTTTCATTATAACTTCTTACAACGATCCCGGTGGCCAATTTCCCTTGGAATTGTAAGGAGTGAATCGGTATCCAAATTCAAGTAGTTTCTTGCACAATTTGTATCCAGTTGAAAATAGACTTTGCTGCACTTTTGATGACAGTAATTGAAGAGGGAGGCTGCTGCACCCACGTGGCTTTTTTAAAAAAATTGAATTGTGGCACTGAGATTTGGTCCATAAATCAAACTCCCTGTACCCACAAAACATAATGCAAGATTGTAACATGAAAACCAACCAACCAACCAACCCATGGCTGGTGTCTAAGCAGGCATCTTAAGCACAGTGCACAGGGGCCCCCAGCCAAGCAGGGAAGATTCTTGAGCCTGTGGACTTGTAGAATAGGGAGGACCATATTCCTCCTTGCCAACTAAGGACTGGAGCTTGCAGGAGTACTTTGCCTGATGTTGCTGGTTTTATAGCAAGATTGTAGATACTGTACATGTTCTCTGAAGAAGGTTTCCATGTGCACCGGCATGTTATGACATATGCGCTCTTCCTGTGGACTGTTTCATAAGTGTTGAGTTCAGAGATTTCTAAAACCTCCTGTCTGTAAGTAGGTTGTCAAGCACTAAGCTTGCAAAGCATTCCAAACAGGTGATTTCCTGGCAAGCAGGCAGGGTTTGCGCAGTCTCCAAGGTTGGCTGAACAGTGGCATCAGTGGTGGTGAAATCCTCGCTCCCCTTCTCACAATTCTTACTGCGTGTTTGCCAAAAACAAAAAAGGCCTTAATTATATACCCTTAGCCCCTTCACCCGGTGTGAAAAAGCAAGTTGCTGCTGCAGTAACGTGGACCATTTCACACAAAAAATAGACTCTAACAGTAATTCTGCTCCAATTCTATACCACTTCGGGATTCATGTGGGGGGGTCACAGATTAATAACTTTCTAAACAGACAAAACTAGTATTTTGGAGAAATGGGTTAATGCTGTCCTTTCTGGCATGCCATTTTCCTTGTCCTTTTATATGGAAGAGTGTGCGGAGCTCCCCCTCCCCGTGATCCCAGTGGTACAGTCCTGGAGATGCTTTTTCCACTTGGTTTTGCAGAGTACAGTGGTACCGCTAGTTACGGACTTAATTCATTCCGGAGGTCCATTCTTAACCTGAAACTGTTCTTAACTAGAGGCGTGCCTTCGCTGATGGGGCCTCTTGCTGCCGCTGTGCCGCCGGCACACAATTTCTGTTCTCATCCTGGGGCAAAGTTCTCAGCTCGAGGTAACTCTTCCAGTTTAGCGGAGTTTGTAACCTGAAGCGTTTGTAACTCGAGGTACCACTGTAGTATAAAGTGGCCCTTAGCAGTAGTCGGGCTGACCAAATAGACCCCTTGTGGCTCCACCTGGGAGCACAGAGGCCCAGAGCAGCTAGCAGCCGCCTCTTCCTACAAGGCGCAGCGATGGTTTTTGAAAGCTGGGCTTCAGAAATGTCCACGGCGACTTAAGCATCGAGCATGCTCAGAAACGACCACTTTCTGCCACCCATTCACAATTCAGTTCTGTACGCAACGGACTCTGCACAGCTCGTTTTTAAGTAATACTCGTGGGATGAAACGGTGGCCTTTTCCATATTCCAGAAGGAATGCCTAATTTCTCTGCAGTTGCCTAAGGAAAACGGACCCGTGTGTGTGTGTTGTGCAAGAGTCAGGCTTCCAGGGTGGGAGGGAAGGGTTGCGGGGAAAGATGTTTAAGGATTCTACTCAACTCGAGCACTCTGTTAGTTGGATTAATAGTTGAAGTCACTGAGGAGAGAAATGGATGAAATTGAAAATATGCTGATCACACGCAAACCCACACTACTAGTGTTGTTAATTGTTGTTTTTGTTTTTTTTATTGTTGTAATATATTTGGGGTTTTTTTTTCTAATTTAAATTTTCACTATTGCCTGACTGTGAACTGCAAACAGTGTTAACTTGATGTAAATAGGGGCCTTTGGAGGAGGTGCCTCTGCCTGTCGTTCCACAAAGATTTTTGCCAATTTGCATTTTGTTTTGAATAAAAGTTGCAATATTTTATTGGCAAATAAAGGTTGACACATGATTATTATTTTTGAAGTGTGTGGCTTTTAAGAGAATAAAGATGGAGAATGTGATGAAGACCCCCGCCCCAGTCACAGACACATAAGTTTGGAAGGGGGGCTATCTTGGCAACAACATTGCTTAAATCTGCTTGTAGAGGTCAGAGTAGATGTCAAATTGAAAAACAGGTTGACATTGTATAACCAAGTTATCCTATATTAAAGACTGAGGAAACAGTGTTGTTCTTGGATAAGCTGCTCCTAGTGCAGGTTTCTCCAACCTTCATAGAATCATAGAGTTGGAAGAGACCACAAGGGCCATCGAGTCCAACCCCCTGCCAAGCAGGAAACACCATCAGAGCACTCCTGACATATGGTTGTCAAGCCTCTGCTTAAAGACCTCCAAAGAAGGAGACTCCACCACACTCCTTGGCAGCAAATTCCACTGTCGAACAGCTCTTACTGTCAGGAAGTTCTTCCTAATGTTTAGGTGGAATCTTCTTTCTTGTAGTTTGGATCCATTGCTCCGTGTCTGCTTCTCTGGAGCAGCAGAAAACAACCTTTCTCCCTCCTCTTCGGCCCTACAGTTCCCATCATCCCTGACCACTGGTCCTGTTAGCTTGGGATCATGGGAGTTGTAGGCCAAAACATCTGGAGGGCCGCAGGTTTGGAATGCCTGTCCTAGTGTCTTGACAGCATCAGGGTGGGCAGTGTGGTACAGCTGCGGAGGAGGTGGTAGGGCTCACAACTCTCATCATGGAAATGGATGAGACAAGAAAGCAGGTTGAGGGGACCCCCCCCAACCCGATCCTCACTATCAGCTTGTCCCAATCCCAGCAGAGGCCCCCCACATCCTGTTGGAACCCTCCCCTGGGTGATCTGCAGACACTCCTGTCTACATTATCCTGACGCAGCCAGCCCATGACACTTACGTTGGTGTGGTAAGAATCGGGAAATTCCTTTAAAATAGTACAGAGATGGTACTTGTCTCCATAGGTCTTGAGAATGGTGTGCAGCTCAGTAAACCTCCAATGTCTGAGTGGCTATGCAGAGAGGTATATTCTTCCACATGTGATAGAGGTGCCTAGCCAAACAGAACTTGAAGACTAAAAGGTAAAGGGACCCCTGACCATTAGGTCCAGTCGTGGCTGACTCTGGGGTTGTGCCACTCATCTCGCTTTATTGGCCGAGGGAGCCAGCGTACAGCTTCCGGGTCATGTGGCCAGCATGACTAAGCCGCTTCTGGCGAACCAGAGCAGTGCACGGAAACGCCGTTTACCTTCCCACCTGAGCAGTACCTATTTATCTACTTGCACTTTGTGGTGCTTTCGAACTGCTAGGTTGGCAGGAGCAGGGACCGAGCAACAGGAGCTCACCCCGTCGTGAGGATTTGAACCGCCAACCTTCTGATCGGCAAGTCCTAGACTCTGTGGTTTAACCCACAGCGCCACCCGCGTCCCTAACTTGAAGACTACTACTAACCAAAAAGAAACCAGCACAATGGCAGGTGTGACTGTTGTTCTCTTTTGTTTGTCACAGAAAATCCTCTGCGCAAAGAATCACTAATGTTTTGAGTAGTGACAGCACATCATAGGTTCTACAAATAATATGCCAAGTCCACAATTGACCATTGGTATTTTCAGATATGGAATCTATATCCATTTTTTTAGAAAAAAGACAAAGTAACTAAGGACATAACATTAGAGACACATAAATATCTTCTTTCATAATATGACATTGCTTTATTTCATATGTTGTAACCCCCCCCCCCAAAAAAAAACTAAGCAACCAAATGGGCAACTGGCGAAGGACACATCAAGTTGCAGAATAGAGGTAGGGATTGAATATCCATATGACTGGCCATTGGGCTTATATTCACACTGTTCTTAAAACAGCAGTATGGGGCCCTGATCCAGTTCAGGCCTGCCAGAGGAGTAAGCACTTTTCTTACCCCACCGCAGCACTGCTGTTTGCGCTGATTTAAAAATCAAAACAAAAAACAAGTGGGGAGTTAGAAGCACGAGATTTAAAAAAGTGTCGCCATATCTAGCTAGTCCTCAAATCTGTCAAAATAAATGTGGGATGTCAGTATCTTTTATGGGCCACCTGAGTCTGCAAATGATTAGGGCTGCTCTTCCTTAAAGACTTTTTGTTTGTTCATCCTCTCCAAAATCCTGTGCTTTATTTTTTGCCAGTGGGGAGCTTTTATCAAAAAGCAATGCTGGTATTTATCTATCATGCTTGTATCTTGCTGTTCCTTAATGGAGTTCAAGACAGCATAAATAGCATCCCGTGTTATCCTTGCAAAGTGCGGTAAGTAAACCTGAGGCCTCCCTGTGAGTTTCCTGGCTGGAAATCCCAGTTTCCATGACCCAGGTCTGGCCAAATCATCACACTGCTCAGCATTGGCACATGGGACATTGGAACACAAACTCTGCATCAGTCTCAAACATTTCCGATTTGCCAAGTCACCCTTCTCTGAACAGTATGGAAGTTGTGTGCTTATTTTTCATTTGAGGTTTTCAACCATGAAACTGTGCCAAAGGTCCATAAGTTCAGTGGCCACACTTCTGTGTGTAGTATTGCAAATCCTCTTCGCAAGGATGACAACGTTGGAAGGTATCTTTGACCCTATAGACTAGAGTGTGGTCACTCTGCATGTTGTGTCATATTCTTCTCTTGCCTTGGTTGCACGTGCTTTTTGATCTTTTGGCAAGCAAACCTAGACAGCAAACATAACCTTACTGTTTTCTCTGTGCAGCAGTCTTCAAGCAAATAGTGCTGCTGTAGTTTACCTGGAGGACATTCCACAGCTGGGGGAGGCAGGACAGCGGGAGGCAGGCAGAGACAACAATCCACCCGCCCGCCCTTCCAGTCCCCCAAGCTCCAGAAAGGGGCCAAGAAGGCCAGCTCAGCATGACTACAACGGGGGGGGGTGTCTTAGGGCTCAGTGGCTCCTCTCCTTTGCCCATCTCTGGTCCCACATAACAACAGAGAGGTGAGTGATAGAGACGGTATCCAAATGCCATACAATTTGACCTCAGGATCGGTTTGTCCCAACCCCTCATTCCAGAAATCCAGTAAAACATCAGGCTTACTGATAGACCACTCAACACTTGTTGGACATCAGAGCCCTAGGTTCTGCTCCTCTTCTGGGAGATCTGAAATATCTTCAGTCGCGTCCTTGGTGCCAAACAGCATGGAGACACTTGCACAATTCTAGACTTCAAATAACTAAACAAATGGGTAAAAAAAGAACCTGTTCGAAATTGAAACAATATGGTCAATCATGTTGTTGTTGTTTAGTCGTTTAGTCGTGACCGACTCTTCGTGACCCCATGGACCAGAGCACGCCAGGCACTTCTGTCTTCCACTGCCTCCCGCAGTTTGGTCAAACTCATGCTGGTAACCTCGAAAACACCATCCAACCATCTCGTCCTCTGTCGTCCCCTTTTCCTTGTGCCCTCCATCTTTCCCAGCATCAGGGTCTTTTCCAGGGAGTCTTCTCTTCTCATGAGGTGGCCAAAGTATTGGAGCCCAAGCTTCACGATCTGTCCTTCCAGTGAGCACTCAGGGCTGATTTCCTTAAGAATGG